TATTAATAAAATATTATTTTAAATTAAGCGTAGGAAAAGAGTAGTCAAAGCGCAAGTCAAAAGCGCAGGTAAAGCACAGTCAAAACCGCAACTAAAGCGCACCTAAAGTGCAAGTAAAAAGCGCAGTCAAAAGTGTAGGTGACGTGGCAAATTTTTATTGGAGGATGTCGGAACCTATTCTCCTCGTCCGGATGCAATAATTTGCCGTACACAACACATATACATAGTAAAAAATTGACGTGTCGCAGGTCATGATTCGCCTCCGGACGGCTTCCGGTAGCCGCACAGAATAAGATTTTGTTTGAGACAGCTTTTTTATTGCTTCTAAAAGTAGCTTTATAGTATAAATTTTTTTTTTTGTACTAAAAAACTGCTTTAAGAGACGGTAAGAACGCCGTCCCCTAAATTTTATTGAGGAGTCGTGAGGTTGTGATCAGCAATTGTCATTTATAGTGTTTTCCATAAGAGTTCCATACATGTTGCCTTCATGTAGTTAGTTTTAGCTGCTGGTCGACTGTTTTGGTGTGCCAAACGCTATAGTTATGGATAGCTTGCACTGGAGACTTGACGTAGAATCCGTGTTGAAACTTAGAAAGCTGAAAGCCAACCTTCCAAAACGGAAACTGATGTTTCCTTCAAGTTTTCAATTGCTTCTTTGGCGTGCTAAAAATCTATTCATTTTTAAATATATATTGATACGTCACCAAAAATCATATGAACTATAATTTCAGCAAACTTATAGTCAAATTGAATGTTTCGAAGAGACGAAGCCAACGACATCAAAATTGGCCCGGTCGGAACACAAATGGGTTCAAATCAAGAGTCTAAAGCATATTTGGATGGTTCAATGTATTATTTGAATGATAAAATGATAGTCAAATATGACATGCTTATTGTCAAATCGAGCGGCTCTGCGCGACGAATCCAACGAGCACTAGATCACTAAATTCTGACATCATCAATGCACTTAAACAGTTGAAAAATGCTCTATGATTGAGGAATTAATACGGGACATCTAATAGAGCACTCTGAACTTGCCCCGAATCTTCTCTATAATTACAGGATGCGTCACTCATGAAATCTATAAATAAATCCTCACTCTCTAGATGAAGAGGACATTTTGCTGAAGAATATTGAGAGCTTTGAGGCTTCAAGAGCTCCAACATCACTGACGGCGAATCCCCATCGACTGTCGCCAGACGACCATCCGGCTGTCGATCACGATCAAACTTCCGCCCGATCATCATCAGACTATCGTCCAACCATTGGTGGACTTCCACCCGACCACTAACCGTCGTTGGACTTCCCCTCAACCATTGTTGGACCACGCCTAGCCATTGACCGTCACTAGACTTCAACCATGCCACCAAATGTCGTCATACTTTTGCCCAACCATCGTCACACCACCCCCCGATCGCCGACCGCCGCGGGACTTCCGATCGACCATTATCGGATCATTCCCCATCAACTGAACTTCTGCCCGGACGTCATCAGACTTCCACCCAACCATTGCTGAACCTTTATCCAATTCTCCAAACTGCTTTAATTCGACTGCCTCTAAGTCGAGGGATGTGTCAACCTTTCTAATTCACTCAAATTTAGTTGAATATTTTCCCTCTTCAAATTTTTCACGTAAAGAAGATTGAGTGTTTTATTGCTCTCTATATCTCTCTCTCTGTTTCTGTGCACGATATTCATGCATCTCTAAGACGAAAAGTTTACTCACTCTACCGTCACAAATATTCAACCCCGCAACATACATCAAGTAGATAATATGTATCTCTCTCTATATACTTAAATTGAAACGACAAATAAGCACATAATTATATATTCACATTAATAATTTCTCCTTAGTCTTACACCTAATATTTTTTTTTTGAAAACTCTAAATCAATTAAATTCACACATACACCACATCCAACCTAACACCCATAAGCGTATACGCTTTGATCCTTCAGTTTAAAGCGCCCCCTTTTTTTTTTTTTTTTTTCTGAATGGGATTGGATTATGCTTTGAGTTGTTTGCACGGCTTGGGCTTTCCGATAGGTTGGGTAGGTATGTAATTTTTGCTAAAGCCAAGGTTATTACTTGTAAGGAAACGACAAATTAATTAGCTTCATTTGCCATTATTTTTTTTTCTTTAAAATGTTAAATATTCTGTTAAATTTTTTTCTGAATGTTTTTAAAACTCGAGCGGTTACGGAGGAAGGGGAGAGGACGCTTTGCCAGAAGCATTCTCCTCCTTCCAAATTCTCACCAAAACACTCTGTACCAATCCTCACTCTGTCGCAATCCTCTTCCTCTCCTTCGCCGTTGCATGCAATGCGGCGGATATAGATAACTCTATAGCTTCGTGATTCGGCTTTTCCGATCACCCGGTCGCCGGCGGGAGCATTACGTTTCAGGCCGTATTATTCGTTCTTCCATTTCTATTGGGGTTGTGATTGGAAGGTCGAAATAGCGCTGGGGATGGGGATATATGAGCTTATCAAGGATGATGGTTGCGCGATTGCCGATCCTAGTAAGAATCTTCTTGCTCTCGAGGAGGGTTTTGCTTCCAAGCAAGTGGAGGAATCCGGTGAACTTTTGGCGGGGAAAGCGCTCAAATCTTCGATTGGTGGTGCCGTCCCGCCCGTCGAGACAATTGTCAGTGATTTCGGTTGCTCTCCCTCGTCAGCCGCGAGGAGTCCTCGTCTTGTGTCGCTTGATGTTTTCCGGGGAATTACTGTGGCGGTACAGTTTCTAATCAGATCTCGCGTCCATTCCGTCTTTTTTATATACTGTTTTCTCTCATTCCGGTCAATGCGCACTGCTGAAATCGCGCTTTATTTAATCAATTTGAACTGGTTTTTTTTAAATTCTAATCTATATGTTGTTTCATCTGATTATTAGCTGCAACATTTCCTAAATTGATTGATAATGATCACGATTCCTCTCCTTTTGCATTTGTGTTTATTATTATTTGAATATACAATCAAACATGTAATGGAAGTTCTTCATTTTTAACACCATAAATAGCATTCAATGGCTTTGAGTGATTGAACTAAATGATAGATAGTACTAAGGCAAAAGCTATTGCATTTTTTTTCCTCTCCTTCATTTAAAACCGGTGGTTTGCGTTGAAATTCGTTGCATTTATTTAATGGAGCTCCGGACCTTCGGTTTACTTTCTTGCCATTTGAGACTGTTAATGTCCACCCTGCGATTACTGTTCAGCTAACAATATTATTTTATAATATAATTTCAGCTTATGATTCTCGTAGATGATGCTGGTGGTTTTTGCTCTGCCATCAATCATTCCCCGTGGAATGGAGTAACCATTGCTGACTTTGTTATGCCATTCTTCTTGTTCATCGTTGGTGTTTCTCTGGGACTTACTTATAAGGTTCTGCTTCCAAATGATAGCTTAATCTATCAAATTATTTATATTTTAATGTCATCTAAGAGTAATTAAGCCTGTTTACAGAGAGTTTCCAATCGAAAAGCTGCAACTAGGAAGGCTATATTCAGAGCACTGAAATTGTTCGCTGTAGGCCTATTACTTCAAGGTACATTACAGGCCATTATTTCTTCTTGCTGTTAAAAAATCAACTTTCTTTCTCGTAATTTTCATTTTTTTGTATGTCTCGGAATCAGGTGGCTATTTTCATGGTATTCACAGTTTAACTTTTGGTGTTGATTTACTGCATATTCGCTTCATGGGAGTACTTCAGGTTGGTTTTCTATCTATGCCGGCGAATCCTTTGGCTAGCTTCCCTGATTCTCTTTGGGAAATTATTCTGTGCGGACTCCGAACGTAGAGGATCGTTCGGATGATGCTTATGGACTGCGTATGAATTTAATATGGACTGCATATTTATTGTGTATTTGTAGATATGTAGAAAATACTCAGTAAATACTCACAACTAATGATTGGCTCAGTATTTGCTGCATATCTACAAATATCAAATACGCAGTTCATACATGGTTCATACGTAGTCCATATGCAGCATCTGGATGATCCTCTACGTTCGGAGTCCGCATTATTCAAGAACAATTTCTCCTCTTTGTTTTCTTTCCCATCATTTCAAAGATATCCTGAATTTTTTTCCTCTTGTAGAGAATAGCCATCGCCTATCTCCTGGCAGCAGTAAGCGAAGTGTGGCACAGAAGTGATGTCTTGGTGGATTCTGGATATTCCCTGATGAAGAAATACAGAATACAACTGTATACTTTTATTTTTCAAGTCCCATATTTCATATTTTTTATGTGCCTAAATAGCTTCTGATTTCATTTCTTTATATTCATTATAGGTTTGTTGGAGGTCTGCTAACTTCTACCTACTTATTCCTTCTATATGGCTTGTTTGTTCCTGATTGGGATTACCAGATACCATTGCAGGATGGCATGTCCAAGTTTTATTCAGTAAGTCGCATAATCTGGTTCCTTGTCTTGCTGTGAGAACCACTTGCATGTTTGGTATTGGAAAGGCAAGATGATAGTTTGCCTAACAAATTCTTCAATACATTTCATCTATGTACTGTACTGGGAAATTCTTCTGTGCTGAGTCCAAACATAGAGGATCTTCCGGATTACTGGACGCATTGCTTACGCTCTGCTTACACTCTGCGTATTTGTAGATACGTAGCAAATAAGCAACAAAATCCTCATTTATTGCTTATTTGCTATATACACAGTAAATATGCAGAGCGTAGGTAGAGCTTACGCATAAGGTACTCAGTAATTTAGAAGATCCTCTACGTTCAGACTCCGAACAAAATAATCTCCCATGCTCTGCAGTGTCTTTCAAAAAAAAAAAAAATTCCTTTGAAATCATTTTTATCATTATTGTTCAGGTTAAATGTGGAGTCAGGGGTGATACTAGTCCCGCTTGCAATGCTGTTGGGATGATCGATCGAAAAATATTGGGCATTGATCATCTATATAAACGGCCAGTTTATGGAAGAACAAAGGTCAGTGGAAAAATGCTAAGATTCCTGCATTACCATTCTCTTTCTGCAGGAGGATAAATTTGATCGATCTTGAACTACCTCATTCTCTTGATAGCAATGCAGCATCGACTCTCCTTTTAGTGGCCCTCTTCCAGCTGATGCTCCATCATGGTGTGAAGCTCCCTTCGATCCCGAAGGACTCCTCAGGTCTTCTACATGTTTATTTCGTCATACCATCTAGTTTTAGGTTCTGAAAATTAAGCGGTGTACGTGTTTGTGTTTATGCCGCAGCACCATTATGGCTGTTGTCACTTGCTTGATCGGGCTTCAGTTTGGGCATGTTATTGTGCACTTTAAGGTATTCTCTCTTTGCCATACCTTAGTCCAAGCTGTGAAAAGGTTTTACTGATAAGTGTTTGTTGTATTGCCAAATTGGATAAAACAAGCCAGTTGGATTATGATATGAACTGTCCATTTATCATTTCGATTCCAGATTCTTCAATCCGCAGCTCGGTGCGGACGCCGAACATCATCTGAAGACCAACTAGAAAGCGCCACATCATTCATGTGCTCGATACCGCGACTCGATACCACTGATATGGCGCATTCTGATTGGTCTCCGGTCGACGTTCTGCATCCGGTCTCCACGGAATAATTTCTCTAGTTTGTGTGTATTTGAGTTAGCTTATGGCCAACCGGCCCTCTTAAAATTTGTCGTATATGATCTTTAACAAGAACTCTATTGACTTTATTACTTCTCAGCATCACAAGGACAGGATCTTTCAATGGATGATCCCCTCCTCCTGTCTTCTCGCATGCGCCTTCTGTCTTGATTTTGTTGGTACGGATTACTTGCAATTACTTTCACAAATTAAGTTGAATTTTGATGTATTATATGTCGTCATACTACAGGAATGCATATGAACAAAGCTCTGTACACTGTCAGTTACACCTGCGTTACAGCTGGTGTATCCGGACTTCTCTTGGCTGGGATCTATTTGCTGGTCAAATCCTCAATCCTTCACACTTTATACCTAATTCCCATAATAACCAATTTATTTAAGTGAAGAGGTCGGACATAGAGAACCATTCGGTTTGTCTCAGTGAACAGTAACCACTACTTTTTTATTGTTCGCAGAGATAAAACTGAATGATTTTATGGAGAAATTATTATGTGTGGAAGCCGAACGCCGTTTGGAGATCAATCAGAATGAGCCACGGCAGTATCGCGGCTCGGTACTGCTCGGTACGGTGCTCAGTATTATTGACGTGACTCGTTCTGAGTGATCTCCGGATCTAGAACTGCATTCGGTGTCTACACATAATAATTTGATCTCCGGACGTAGTAATCTCTCTTTATTTAAAGTTTTAAACTCACTTCCCACTTTTTGAATACAGGTTGATGTATACGGCTTCAGGAGATCAATGCAGGCAATGGAGTGGATGGGAAAACATGCTTTGGAGATATACGTTCTACTGGCATGCAACATACTGCCCATTTTTGTTCAGGGCTTCTACTGGAAGGAGCCTAGAAATAATCTGGTAAGTTTTCCATAGCCATAAGCAATAATTAACAGAAATTTAATTGAAGTAAATATGGACTAATTATTTCTTAATTATGGATTAATAGCTATCCATGGAATAGAGAATAATATCAGTTAGAACAGTTAATCTTTTATTGCACTAGTTTGACTAATTACTATTTCATTATATTTATTACGTAATTAGTTTTTAGCTTAAAATTTGAATTCATTAATAGAAAAAATATAGGAGAATTTGTGTTTGGTTGGGATAATTAGGGTAGTTAAGTAATCAGTATTTTGATTGCAGTAATTAACCTAATTAATATTTGATTATATTGATTAGAGATTAAATAGCCGGCTTATAACCTAAATTTAATAAAGTTAAAATTTCCTAACTATTAGATTCATCTTGGGACGAGTATTATACATTGCTAAACCTTCTCCCTCGAGCGGCATCGCCTCGTAAGTGGGGCCAAATCAAATGCCGGCTAGGAGGTTTCTGGGGCGGGTGCCTCTTCTAGGTCAGCCGATGATTAGTCATGCAGCTAAGCAGCCTTTTAGGGGTGGTAGCGGGTGGATATTTCGTTCCAAAAAAATGACTAAAATATACATTCCAATTGAAAGTTTTTCTCATTTTAGGCTTCGTTTTGGCCAGTTTTCTTATTGCTTTTGCTTTTTAATATAATTTTTTTTGTTCGTACTATTTTGCTATTTAGATGACAATTATAATTTTATTTTACTATTGTTTTTTTTTATTATTTTCTCACTATTTTTCAAAAAATTTTATGTTGAAAAATTTCTTTTAGCAACTAGAATAACAACGATACTTTGGTCATATCAATTTTATAAAACACTGTAGCCGTTCCAAACAGATCTTGAATATAGTGATCAAATTACTCTATCCATTTCAAAGCCATTGATTAGCTTTGAGATGAGTGCAAGATAAATTTTGATTGATTACATATTGGTTTTAAACAGTTGAACTTGATTGGGATTGGATCGTAAGTATGTATTTATGGAGATCCGAACTGCACCGGATATATAATTATTAGCTGAAAGGAACTCCTGGACTGGAATCTGGCAATGGTAGCCGATTGTGGAAGCTAATGTGGCTGTAGCTCAGTTTAGCTCAGGGCTATTTAAGTGTGTGGATACTATCATATTCACTCCTTTGATATTTTTATTTATATCTCTGCTCTGGCTTGCTGGGTAGTGGGTACCATATGCGCTTATGCGACTTTGTAAAGTGCTTATGGGAAAGCGATTTACTACATTATGTTTTACTCAATAAATCAGTATTATATAATATTTGCATTTCTCCATTGGTATTTTGCTCATGTGCATATTCTAGTTAGGGCTGCTAATGGATCAATAGGTCCAACAAAGTATTTATTATTTTGCTCAAAATCTTGGTGCATGCCAAGAAATTTTTTTTTTTTTTTATGATGATAAATTTTTTTTAAAGTTCATGAATAAACAGTGATGAAGCTAGAAATTTTATTTAAGTAAGAGGGAGCTTAAATCAAAATAGTTTTGTTTGTCATCTCATTACTAGAGCCAAGAGGAGCTGTAAGATCAAAATTAATAATGCAAATAACATGATCTTTAAAGTTTAGAAGACATAAATATTTCTCACGGACAGTCTCCATTTGGGGGCGAGAGAGGAGCGAAAGGGAAAATGAAAGTTGTGCTTGAGGTCGTGAGTCGCAAGCCGTGAGAGAGACGCAAAGGAGAAAACGAAGATTCTTTAAAATATTTGCATTTTAGCTAATTTAAGTGAGTTTCAAATTCAAGCATTTTAATACAATTTCAACTAAAATTTACTTAAGTTTCTCTAAAATAAAGTTTCAGCTAAAATGAGTTGAGCTCAAACAATTATAACTTTAAACCGATCAAATGTGAACATTATAAATACTTGAATTTAGCTTGAGCTTTAGCTCGAACAGCATTTTGGCAAATGAGCTCAAGTTGATGCTCGACTGTGCTCAATTTTGGAAATTTAGGTTGCTTGAATAAAAACTCGGAGCATGCTCATCCAAAATTTCTTCCATATATGCTGGAGAGATTATTTTGTGTGGACATCGAACAGTCCAAAGGCGAATCAGAATGTGTCACGTCACTTGATTCACAACGATACATAGCAACGGTACACAACAAATGGTTAGCATGATACGTCATGATTTGCATCTGGACGGCATCCATATCCAATAATTTCACTATATGCTGAGCCATCCAAGATTCCTCTGAGAAAAGTTAGATTTTCGACGAGCAATTAGGGCTATTTTTTATTATTAAAAATTTGGACAGTTACACGCATAACACTTAAATATTAAAATATTAGCTATTTATAAAACAATAATCCTCACATCTCCACTTTTGAAATTATAATCAAATATCAAAATTCACATATTTATAATTCTTTGCATATTTTATTTTCAATGTATTTAAAAATCATCCAATTTAAACGAATTCTAATATACTGTATAAGTGAAGATTCACCAACAATCAACTGCCACTCACCAATCACCATCATCGACACCCCGACCATTGCAAGCATCATATTTCAAATATTGATTTTACTTTACAAGCAATTACACGCAAACAAAATAAACTACTTAATTTTTTTACAAACAACCAAATTACATAAAATATTTTTAAAAACATAATTATATTTTAAATATATTGATGGATAATCTAAATTATACATTTGAATGCCCAATGGTAGAAACTTCAAATGGAATAAAACATCTCTCCTTGGACTAAATAATTATTCTGTGCGGATGCGGAACGCCGTCCGAAAATCAACCAAAACGTGCCACGTCACCCAAGCGCTCAATACCGCAACTCGGTACTGCTCCCTACCACTCGGTACTATTAACGTGGCACATTCTGGTTGATCTCCGAACGATGTTCTGCATCCGATCTCCACACATAATAATTTCTCCTAAATAAACCACCCACCAAACAAAGAAAAGTTGAAAAGCTGACATTACTATGCATCGCCACCAGAAAAAGACAAATATGTTAATGCTCCTTTAAGCAATCAAATATTGACGAATAAATGTTCAAGAATTTATGCATAATAGTATCTGAACTTCTACTTGTATATTTATTATTGTGGTGATAGGCAATCAATATTCCTGAATAAACATTCACAAATTTATGCAAAGCAGTATCTGAACTTATGTGCTTGTATATCTATAATCATGGCTATAGCAGAAAATGGAGAGCAAAAAAAAAAAGTTAAAGAGGAAGCAGCAGCTCATCTGAAAATCCTATGTCTGCGAGTGCAATAAGCTGGTCAACCACAGTAGGATCTGCAAGTGTACTTGTATCACCAAGCTCATTTAGCTGCCTGGAAGCTATCTTTCTTAGGATCCTTCTCATTATCTTCCCACTCCTTGTTTTTGGGAGCCCAGGAGCCCAATGAATTTTATCTGGAGCAGCAAATGCACCAATCTGACACAAACCATTTACAAAGGTCAATATTATCTTTTAAGTTGATTCCAAATATTTGAATTATGAAATAACAAATTCAATTAGAATACAAGTATATAGGTTTCGGTTGGGACGGCTTTCTTACTGCTTCTTAAAGTAGTTTTATAGTACAAAAAATAAGTTTTTTTACTAGAAAACTATTTTAAGAAGCAGTAAGAAAGCCGTCACAAACAAACCCATATTCATCGTCACTATCATTAAGGTAAGTTCCATGTAAATTGTCTACCTTGGGCTAATCCAACCCAAAGGTTAAGCCAATTTAGACAAAACCTGATCTATATGGTAGAATATTCCAAGTTCCATGGATAAGTAGAACTAAATTCAAACCTAGATGAAAAAAAGTTATAAAAAAAAAATGATATGCAAGCATCAAAAGTTGCAAAGACAAGTGCAATTCATCATGCTATCCTTATCCTCATGGCCTCCCTTAGGAAAGGAAGGGGTACTCTTTCATGAATACTTTAAGAAAATTATTTATTCTTTTAATTATTTCATTATTATTTAAGATGCTTATGGATAATGATTATCCTAGGTTCCTCGATTGAACCACTAGGTGGCTAATAACCTCGTTGAGTTGTTATATTCCCTTATGGCTACATAGAAGCTCATGTAAGCTTTATCATTCAAGTCTCTCTCGTGCAAACACACTAATCAACCACTCTGTCTTTTACTAGGCAAACGATGCAAATGTTTAAGTACTTTTATATTTATAGGTACGTGAAATGGCAAACTTCTAGCAAATTAAGGCTTCATTTGGGACGGTTTTCTTACTGCTTCATAAAGCAGTTTTTTAATACAAAAATTAAAATTTTGTACTAGAAAGCTGCTTTATGAAGCATAAAAAAGCCGTCCCGAACGAAGCCTAAATGGAACTGAATAGATCAATCCTAATAAAATAATGAAATATAAAGGATATAAAATAACTTAAATATCTACGACAACAAAGATTCAGAACTTATGTCCAAGTCAACAAACAAAAACCTTCGTTTCTCTCCAGCTCTGAGAACAAGCAAGGAGCAAAAAGAGTCCAAGCGCAAGGAAAAAAGCATCTCAAAGAAAAGCAAGATACTCTGCCTCTAAAAACTAAACCTGTTTCCTCATATCCCTCCATCACAATCCAATCAATACCCACTTCAAGCATGACAGAACCCTTTGATTAGCTTACCCATGTAGAAAAAGCTCTACACATCATCCTAACCCAACGACAAAAGAACTTAATGCATATTCATCCTAAAATCACCCTAAACAAAGTAAAATAAAAAATTTACCTGATTTCTGACCATTAAAATAAGACTCTTCCGCAGTTCTTCGCTGTAAGGAACACCCTCCACCAAAGTAACAAAAGCATATATGCCCTGTCCCTTGACCTGCAATGGCTCAAGGTCCGTTAAGAGATGCATATAGAAAGAGTCAAGTAAAATCAAACCTCTAACAAAGATACTTGACCTCATGTTCAACACCAACAACAGCAGCCTCTGCACACTGGGGATGTGAAACCAGTGCAGACTCAATCTCCGCTGTGCCAATGCGATGCCCGCTGCAAAAGTTTACAACTATGCACTGAATGGAATTGTAAGACTTGATTCTTCTAATAAGATGCAGAAACGCTTCTTGCAAATGAAATAGTTGCACGCTTTGATGTTTAATTGAGTATGTTTAGCAAGTACCTAACATTGATGACATCATCAACCCTTCCAGTGAGCCAATGATACCCATCCTTGTCCCTAAGGAATCAAGACAGTTTAAATCATAATGCTGAATTGAGCAAACAACACCAACAAACAAAAACAACTAGATCAAGCCTTTATCTCACTACATGGGGTCGGTTATATGAATTTTTTTTTCTCCATCAGGTTTTATTAAGAATCAAATTATCATTTAAATCTAGTAAAAAAGTTCATTTCTATTACTGTCTAATGAAGACTTTTTAGGTCTATGATGGGGACATCAGATCATGAATCATATATCAGAGGTGTGGACGTTGATCTATGGCCATGATCACGTCAATGTATTTTGAGTTATTTCATGTATTTATTTTACCCCTTGCTTAAGGGAAGTCATATGTAAGCCCTAAGGGCATTGTCGTCTTTCTTATTTTGAGTCTTATGTACGAGGCTATTTATAGCCCATAATGTTTCTCTTTGAAAGTTAATGATTGAATGATAAAAAAAAAATTATGCTATTGTTTGAGTTCTTGGGAGATCTTGAGAGTGCTTGGAGAGAGAGAGATCTCTAGGAGAGGAAAATTTGGATCACCCACCAACCTTGGAGACAGCCGGGTTCATGGTTCTTCTTCTTTATCTCGTTGTCATCCTTTCCTCATCCCATAGCCGCCGGCCAAGGGTTCTCCCGAAACCCTAAGCCTCCGGCCATCTAGCCCCACCACCACCCGCCACCAAGGTCCCCCACCCCATCCTCTCCCCATGGCCAAACCCATCCACCGCCGGCCACCTTGGCTTCTTTCCCCTCCCTACGAGCCACCTCGCCTTTCCTAAATTAGATTTCATGATTTTGATAATTCTATTTATGATTAAATTCAAATTTATTTAAATTTGGAATAGTTGCCTAATTTATGAAATCCTATTTTAGGAAACCTACTAAATCCCTTCATATTTAAATTATAAACTAAGATGGGAAGAGATAATTCTTTCCAAACTTCATTCAATAATTTAAGTAAGCATTAAAGACCTCATTAAACTCCTCCCCTCCCTCCAAGTTCAAATTTCCTGATTACCTCCCATAAGCATCCTCTCTTAATTTGGGAAGATCTAATTTCAAATTCAAACTTATTTGAATTTGGGATCCTTTCCTAATTCAGGAAACCTATTTTAGGAAAGTTACTTAATTAAATCCCTTTTGAATTTCAAATTAAAGAGGATTTAATTATTTCTTTCCTAATTCCTAAATCTCAAATTAAGTAACCCAAATCCCTCCCCAAAATCTCTCCCTATCTCATTGATTGCCGCCGGCCCCTATTGGGTGGGAGTAGGAAATTCGTTCCTAAATCCCAAATTAAAGGGAATCAATTACAATTTCCCCACCTCTCTACTTGGCCGAAACCTCCCCAGACCCCACAATTTAATTTATTTCCATTAGAGTTCTTCTCTAATTGGAAATCAATTAACCTCCTCCCATCTCTCTTTGGAATAATTTCAAATTCCAAGCCCCTAAATCCTCCACATGCGAATCTGAAATTGAAACTTCAGATTTTGATTAATTCTTCTCCTCTAACCTAACTCTAATGCCAACGTGTGGTTCCCCACCTATGGCCCGCCATCTATCCCCCTCTTTCCCTTTGGAATTTGCAAGATGAGTTCCTCTCTCTCCATAGAAACCTTCAAAGGAAGTACCAACTAGTGTGTTCAACAATTCACACTAGAGAAACTTCTTTCTCTCTAAGTTGAACCTTCAAGGAAGCAACGACGAACTTCTTCAACATCTCGACTACTTGTTTCCGGACTTTGACTAAGGTGAACTTCTCCCCGTCTTCAATTACCTTTCTAATCCCCTAATCTTGTAGGTGATGACGAACCACAAGGAGCCGAGTTTCGCCTTATGTCTAAGCTTAGTAAACATAGGATTTTGTTTTGCCATTGCCAAAGCTTAGTAAACGTATGATTGAGTGCACTTTCTATGCTTCTAATCTAATTGTTATATTAGAGATTTTGTTAAAGGCTATTTACTTTGCATGTTATTGAATTTCTAAAACTTGTTTTGATTCTCCAAGTGCTTGGCATGTGACTTAGCCTAAATGTAAGCACCTCTCATTTGTTTTCTATTGTCGTTTTGATTGCAAACAGTTTTAATCTTACTTGCTTAGTCAAGAAATCGTGCAATTTTTAACGCATCTATTTAAAAAACATTTTAGTCCTGCATCAGTCTACCTTTACCTTTCTTGACAAAGGCTGGAGTTTTCTGTGACCAAATCATTTAAGACGACTCTCTCTAATCGAATTTTCCATTGGAGCTACTCCAACTTTTTCATGTATATACTCGTTTTAGATTTTATCTCTAAGTGTAAAACCACTCATCCACCTACGCATCCTCATCTCTGAAACACTTAATTTTATGTTTATCTTTTAATGGCCAACATTCTATGTCATAATGCATGCATTCCTCCACTTCAACCTTTCAAATTGAATTATACTAATAATATCCCCATCTATTTCACTATCGCTTTGAACAATAGATCCGAGATATCTAAAACATACACTCATTTATTGACTTGATCAACCAACATCACAATCCCATCACTAGATCTATTACTATTAAATTTACACTCCATAAATTAGATTTTAGATCTACTCAAACGAGAACCTTTAGACTCTAAGGTTAACCTCCATAATTCAAATTTTCATTCAACTCACTCTCTAGTCTTATCAACAAGAAGAATATCATAAGCAAAAAGCATACACCAAGGTACATCCTCACAATGAAAAGATGTAACCCGAGAGATTGCAAGCTCAAATGAAACATACTCTATGGATAACGAAGAAGAGATTTGATAGGGACTTGTTTTATTCCAGTCAACATAAATCTCAAGGGAATATACCCGAATACGCTAGAAATAGAAATCAGAGAGAATCAAGCCAGCTCATGAGCTGGCTCAATAACACAACCATAACAGTGGCATTTTAAGTCAGCAAGCCGAGTTCATGATGGAAAAAAAAATTATTTAAGCCCACTACAACTCAACGACCCAGCAAGTTGGCTCCTCTATTCTAAAGCTGGAGAAGAGGCATATTTTAAAATTGCGCGCTTGAATGAGTTTATATGGAAATTTCATCAAAAACACTAAAAACATTTTCCTGAAACAATCTGTCAATCTGTCATGCCACCCCATTCACCCCTCCAGCTCTCCCTATTTTTTTTTCTCCTTCCTCTTTCAATCCCCTTATCCTAGTCTAATTCATCATATCTTATCGTAACCTTATTTTCCTCCTTATCTTCCTCTAACCTATTCATCAAAACTAAATAAAATCTGCTCTATTCACCAATCTGATATACAAGCTCAACCGTTGATAGAAGCAGCCGCTGTCTTTTTTTCTCCTCCTCAAACTAAGCAGCAGCCAAACAATCGCAAGTAACTCCATCACTACTCCCTTTCCTCCTGGGACAAATATCTGCACTTTTTCTGCTCTGCCACATTCAACCCCAGAAGCTCAATGAATGTATTCAAACTTGTCAAATTGAGGTCAACAGGAGCCCAAACTATTCGGTTGGGCTCAATTCAGAGTTCAAGTTCATTCCTAAGTAGTGAAGTTGAGCTTAAGTCATAGGAGGAACTTATCCACTCATTTACATATCTATCTAAGAAAATAAATAGATTGCCCAATAAGAAATGTTTTGTTTTTTCTTCAATAAATCAGTGTTATGGTGCCTAATTCTTGCAATATGTAGATTTAATCATGGGATATAATATTTATGGGTTGTTTCTTTAGGAGCGCTTGGGAATTTTATTATATTCCTCAGGTATTCTATTTTTATTTATAAAGAGGATTCTTGCTCTATGAAGAAAATGCAATATGTAGATTTAATCATGGGATACAATATTTATGGGAGCGCTTGGGAATTTTATTATATTCCTCAGGTATTCTATTTTTATTTATAAAGAGGAAGACATTGCATATGTTTGCATAAGAGGAATTAGAATTATAATTATCTACGATAAAATTGAAATGAAATCTGCAATCATGATAACAAGACATAGCATTAATCGGGTAAATTTGTATAAAAATTTTCTTTTCTTTGTTTATCTTCTTTTTCTATTTTCTTTTAATTTTTCTCTCAGTGATTGAATTCGATTTCTCTTATTTTGCAATAGAAAGAAAAAGCTATAGATGCATCAGGCATAATTCACTATGAAAAGTGTAACCTGCTACAGCCATCGCCCGAGAAATAATATCCTAGGAATGGCTTAAAATATGTGGTCTCGTATCTCTCATGGTCACCATAGAGCGTTCTGAAGGCTCCAGGCCATGATTTCTTGATGCAAAGGTAGCCACTACACTCCCCTTCAATCTCAATCCCTTTCTCATCAACTATTACTGCCTGCATGAGAAAAAAATTTCCAGTAACAAAGCAATCGAAATTTATGCTTGTGCAGGATGTGTGGGTCGTGCATACCTGCACCCCAAAAAATGGAAATGTTGCCGAACCAGGTTTTTGTGGCCATGCACCTGGTAAAGGAGTGATCTACAACAACAACAATAACAACAACGACATCAAGCCTTTATCCCACTAGGTGATCTACACAAAAGATAATTATTTCTACAATTATACAAGAAAAATACAAAATTATTCTACACCAATTTGCAATTCCATTTGAATTCGGAAGGATAAAGTAAACCATATGAAAACTAGGTAAAAAATTAAAAATAATAAGACATAATAAATGATATTCATAAAATCAAGTAAATCATTAGAATGTTACCATAAAACCGCCAGTCTCAGTTTGCCACCAAGTATCTGATATGGGACACCGTGCATCACCGACAACATTAAAAAACCACCTTCACAATGAAAAAAATTAATCCTACTTTCAATGTCATCACAAAAGAGATTTGACAAATTAATGAATCTAGTATGGATGGTATGAACCTCCATGCACTTGGATTGATGGGCTCCCCCACACTTCCTAGAACACGCAATGATTTGCGAGAGTAACGAGTCACGTACTGCAAGAAAATATAGAAAAAGCTTATCAATAATTGTTAATACAACATTAGTGTTCAATAACTCTTGCACATAGTTCTTGGTCTTAATTTTCTTTCATTCAAAATGATGATATATATATATATATATATATATATATATAATATACCATGCAGATGTAATATATTTTAACATACTATAAAAAAAGTAGCTTCTTGCATTGATTATGTTACAGGCACTCTTGCTCACATGCGTGTGTGATGTGAAAATAATAGAGAAAAAACTCAAAATAATTCCCCACCTATTCGTGTGGTCAATTAATTCTCATAGTATCACATTTCCCATTTTAATCCGTCGATTATACAAAATTGATCCTAAATGATCCATCTGATAGAAATTGACTAAAATTAGAAAATAAAATTGATCCCCATTTAGTTTATCGACTATACATAATTGATCTCAAATGTTTCTCAAGGATCATTTGGGAACAATTTTCTATAATGAAGACTTAAATTGGAGAAATGTGATACTTTAGGATTAAATTGGACATATATGAATAGTCGGAGGGCTCCTCCAGTCGTTAGCTCTACCATAAAAGGTGTAGGAGGAGATGACCATGAATTTTATAGAAGGGCTGCCTAAGTCAAAAGCTTACATGACGATACTGGTGGTAGTGGACCGGTTAAGTAAATATGCTCATTTCATCCCCCTTCATCACCCTATACATCAATATCAGTAGCAATGCTTTTTATGAGGGAAGTGTGAAACTACATGGAATCCTATAATCAATTATATCAGATAGGGACAAGATCTTCCTATGCCAGTTCTAGAAGGAATTGTTCAAAATGCAGGGGATCGTCCTTAAAAGAAGCACTGCTTGTCATCCTCAGACGGATGGACAGATAGAGCTAGTCAATCGTAGTGTGGAGACCTATATGCAGTGCTTTATATCGAATACACCTAAGTTGTAGGCCAAATGGTTGGCTTGGACATAGTATTATTATAACACATCTTATCATTCGGCAGCACATACTACATGGTTCAAAGTGTTATACGGACGAGATCCACCTTGCTTGATATACTATGGACAAGGTGGCACACCGATGGCTTCAGTAGAATAATACTTGGAGAATAGAGACATGATCTTGGGGGAGCTGAAGATACATTTGTTGAGAACTCAACAAATTATGAAAAATAAGACAGATGCGCACAGGCGAGACATACAATTCAAGGTGGGGGACAAGGTTTACTTAAAGCTTCATCCCTACAGGCAAAAAACCCTGGCATGGAAATAGAATGATAAGTTATCCTCCCGATATTTTGGTCCCAACGAGATAGTGGAGCGCATATGAGTCGTGGCTTATCGCCTACAGTTACCACCATCGGCAACCATCCATCCGGATTTTCATGTGTCACATTTGCCGCAAGTGATAGGACAGCATATTCCTTCCTCTACACTTTCCCCAACCTTGACAAATGGGAGTGCTATTGGAACCATTAAATGTCAAAGGAGTGAGACCGGGAGTAACGTGACGCAAAGAAGTGTTGATCATGTGGAAGGGCCGACTGGAGCACAAGGTCATGTGAAAGTCCTACCAGATTATGCAACAGTAGTTCTCTGCATATTCCACCTTGAGGACAAGGTGGGACTTTTGGGGGAGCATTGATATGGTGGAAGCAACAGGGGTTCACACCAAGCGAACCCGGGAGCCACTGGACTGCCTGGTCCAGCAAACTTCGACCCAGGCAGGGCCGACAGACAGAGAGGGGGAATCAATTGAGGAGGTGGGGACCAACAGAGAATTAAAATATTATGTTAGAAGATAATCGATTGGGAAATCCTTTCCTAATTGAATTTCAAATAGAGGGAAACATATTAGGAAGGAGGCTGATTTAGGAGGGAAGGAGGAAGCTTATTTAAATCTAAAGTTAAGGTTTATTTTATTCTTTTGCAGAATTTTATTTTGAGTGTTGTAGTTCTCTTGTGTGAGGGATCCTAGCGGCGTCTAGGGTTTGAGAGAGAATGTACTCCTCTCAAAAGAGGACCATTATATCTTCTTTCGTTCGTATTTAGTTTTCTATCAATAAAAATATGTTGTTGTGTTGAATCTCTTGGAGTATTTTATTATTTTGAATACCAAGATGTATCACAATCCCAAAGCATTTGAGTGACACAAAGTCACAAACACCATAGGTTTGATCTCTCTCTCTCTCTCTACTACGTCAAGGAAGTACTACTTCCATTACACACAGAGAGAAAATCACAAGGGAAAAAGTCTCGAATGATAGAAACCCTAATTAGGGTTTGGGATCAAAATACAGTATGGTAAACTAATCTTTCTCCAATTTACATTATATTCTTTTTATCTTGCATAATTTTTATTAGCTTTCATATAGAACCCATAATTCTTGAAATTCTAAAAAAACCCTAATCCCATGCATTCATGAAAGCTTCCATCTATGGAAACCCCAGTCTCGTCAATCCCTGGATTTGGTTTCTTAAATCTTGAAGGAAACTTCAAAATTATACTATTTGTTAAGCTTCAGCATTATAATTCCTAGACCAATTTAGTATAAGGAGACAAATGTATAGTGGTACTAGGTTTATTCTAGATTATATGTTGTGGTTTTGACTCTTCTTCGATGGATGTCTATGATGCCCTTCTCTCTAGTATCTCAGCCACTGGACTCTGTCTCTAATTTGTTAAAATAATGTTTACAACTTTCGCATAAAAATTTGACTCTATAGACCATGTTACTGGCATAAAACCAAATTAATTTTCTAATATTGATATGAGCTTTCTAATCTATGTTACCATTACCTCCTCACATAACTTAATTTTATGGCTACAAATTTTTATTTTCAGATGAATAATACTATCCAATATATCTGCTTAATTATGGAAACATAAATATCCTCTTAATCTTCCTATCTAGACAAAAATATTTGCAACCAAATTACTCCAATATATCTCATAACTATCTACATCTCAAAAAGTGTCTCCTTTGAACCTAAATCTTCTTAAAGAATAGCTCAACTTCACTTCATTAGATTAATTTAAAGTATACTACCTGGTTCTATTCATTTACTCTTAAAATTGATTCCTTGAACATCTCATCTAATAATTTTGCAAAATAAAATTTGCATATTTCCTTGATGCGTTGATCTTAATTAAGATCTTATTACATTCACTCTTTATACAACAAACTTGATCAAAATCCCTTGTTCTCATTCACTTAACTTTCCTATCTTATATCTCTATTTCTCCAGACTTAAAACATAGCTTGGCTCTTATACAAATAACCATGATGCCCTCTTTGCAATTCTTTTTCCCTTATTTATAATTCAAGAAATCTAGAACAAAATGACAGATGAAATGAGAAGTACGCTTTTATCCCTCAAACTTGGCTGTTCGATAAAACTTCATCATGCATGTGTATTTACCATACTAGACTATTAAAAATAGTAGCTTAATAATTTAAATGGAAAAGTAAACCACCAGGAACAGGTATTCTGAATGATATCATGAGCTTTTTACCTCGTCGCCATCACGCATCAAAGAACGCACCAAAGTTGGGGCAGTGTAGAAAAGTGACACCTTATATTTATCAACGATGTCCCAGCAACGTCCAGGGTTAGGGTAATTTGGTGCCTACAGAATTACATGAATAAGGTCAAACATCCAATGGAGAAACGGACACATGATTACAGGAGTACTCCAACGGTTTATGTTACACATATTAAAGAAGAAAGCTAGGATGATTTCGTGTATTACAATGAAACCATGAGACCATCTAAACTATGTGCTATAAATTCATGTTAGTGATATAAGAAAAAAAAAACAAATAACAGTTTGAACCAACAAATACAAAGTTCTTTATGTACAACATACTTTCTTAAAACATTAGGCAGTAGAAGTTGGATTATTTTTTCTGCAAAAGATGATTTTTACAACAGAACTACTGCACTAGAAAATTTTCAGTGAGAAGACTACCCCTTCAAAAACAATAATAGTTGCTCCATTTAATAGAGGTCCATATGTCACATAGCTGTGCCCAGTAATCCAACCACAATCAGCAGTACACCTGAAATTGGAAGATGGGAAGTTTGGAAAAAGGGCGTTGGGAAAAGTAGCAGCAGACTCAACGAAAATGCTTCAGAGGTGCATTAACAAGAGTTGAGCAATAGTAGAGGAATGTTAAGAAACCAGTATATGTCTGATGGCTTGTAGTCAAAAGCGTATTTGAATGTTGTTGCCGTGTATACCATATAGCCCGCAGTTGTGTGCAATACGCCCTGCATACAAAACCGAATTATCAACTTTGTTTTCATCCGAAGTGAAAGGCTGCAGCTCAAGAAACCATCAGGATACCACCTTAGGCTTTCCAGTGCTCCCGCTAGTGTACAAGAGAAATAGTGGATCTTCAGATTCAACCCACTCTACTTCGCATTTGGTTGGAAATTTTGGAACTACATCCTGGAAGACATTCAAAAGAGTAGAGACCAGTTATAGGTACAATAGAGTGAGGATATGCATATTTACATAGGTTGGACCAGCCGCTAAATTGCAAGAGCAAATGTTAAACTATACCAACTGCTCTATCAGGAGAAAAGTTTTAAAAAACAGACCAACCACCCCGGAAAATAAATATTAATTTGGAAGAAATCAAATAGTTGGACTTCAACTAAATAATTATGAATACATGGACAAATATGGGCATTCCAACGGCATATTCCCGTGTGTCAATATCAAGTGAATAAATTCACCAACCTGCCACCATACATCTCTATCATCTTGCCATTTTGTTGCTTCTCTACTCATAGCTGACTGGTTTTCATATGTCAGACATAAACCTGCTCATGTGTAAGGTACACAAAAATGCTAAGTAAAAATAATGACGCATAACCTAAAAAATGGCAAAATAGAAGTCACAGATAGTTATTAGATTATTGCATTAAAATAGCTAGAAATTACACAAAAATATTAAGCATTGCCTTATGATGATGAACCAGAACAAACATCAACATCCTTTGTCAAGTACACAAAATATCAGCAACCTCAAACAGGAAATCAAACATCTAAAAAGAAATGTAAAAAGTTGATATATTAATTGAAGAATCACAAAGTATAACCGATCAATGCATGCACAGAAAGAAACGTAGAATCATCATGCAATGACATTTAGCATATATCCACAAAGGTGAGTAAAGCTTAAAAGAAGATGGTGGTTGCTTATAGTTAGACAATTTTCTACAATATAAATAATCATTCTATAAATAATGCAAAAAAAAAAAAAAAAACTAACATCTAATTTACTGACAAGAGCTGCAATCATTTATACGTTGCTTTGTGATAGTTCATGCTTGAATATTGACCAAATATAGCACTCAACAATTTTTGCTTTTCACATTTCATGGCATCAAGATTAACCTATAATTAAACACCCTTACATGAAGAATTTTACTTTTTATATGAGAATTAAGGAAATCCACAAACTTACAGTAGAAGATCTAGCCTCCATTAAAAAAAATGGCATCATGTAATTATCCAGAAAGTCAAAATTAAGTGCTGGTAAAATAATGCAGGCCAGCATGAAACGCTACTAATTCCACCGTCTAGCCAAAATAAACCAATCTGATTGATGGGGACATCAGATCGTGAAAGGTTTATCAAAGACGTGGCCGCCGATCTACGGCCACGATCGAGTCTTTATATTTCTGAGTCATTTGTGTTATTTATTTATTCATGTATTTTCTTATTTGCTTAGGTGTCATCTTGTTTTCCCGTTGTACACTCTTATGAAGGGATGTTGTATGTAAGCCCAAGGGGCATTTGTGTCTTTTTGTTTTGAGTCCTTTGTATGAGGCTTTATATAGCCCTCCTTATTTTCTTTTGAGGTGAATGAATGATTGCTTATTACAATTTCTTCTCGCATGAGTTTTGAGAGAGCTTGAGAGTTCTAATGGAGAGAGTTCCCTAGGAGAGGGAGATCGTATCACCCACCAACCTTGGAGACAGCCGGGTTTGTGATTTGATCTTTGTATTTTCATCTTCTCTTACCGACCACATTTACTCGTCGTCGTCACATCCAATTCCTCCACCAAATTCCCTACTTCTTCCCTCATAAAACTCCCCAAAAATTCTCCCCATAGTCGCCAGCCTCCTTCACCCGGCCATCTCTTGACCGCCGGCCATAGGCCCTAGCCGCCAGCCACCTTTCCCTTTTTTTTCCCTATCGAATTCCCACTTTTCTTTCATTTATTTCCTAATATATATTAAATATATTTAGGTTTATATTTTAATTCAAATCCAAGTGATTTGAAATTCAACATATTTTCTAATATAAAAGTCTATTTTAGGAAAGTCATTAAACCTCACGTTAAATCAATTTGACATTGATTGGGATTTTAAAATTCCCTTTCCAAATTTAAAATTCCCAAACAAGCAAGCAATGAGCAATTACCCCACTCCCTCCCATCCATTACTGCCGCCGGCCCCCTTTCCCCTTTGGCCTTAGTTTAGGAAATCTTTCCTAAACACTAAGCTTCTCTTTCTTTTAGAAATATTTCCCAGATCTTCGCAGCCGAATTCTCCACAGGGCCAAATATTAACTTCTTTCCTAAAACCTGACGTGGGAATTAAGAAACAAATCCACCTCCCACTTCATATACAGCCGCCCCCTCTCCTTTATTAAATTGCTTTTGAAATCTCTCCATAAGTGCAGCTTATTCCTTTGGAAAGATTTCCAAAACCTGATTGCTACTGGCCTAATTCTCTCAGGCTCCTTTCTTGGGATTCTCTCCAAACTCCTCCTCTATTCACAGAAATCTGAAACTTATTTCAGGTTTTGGTTTTGGGCTCTCTCACCAACAAAATTATCAGAGAAATTTCTTTCTCTTCGACTAGTCTCTAGAGCATCATCAAGTGTGAGGAGTTTTAACCACAGAGCATCCATGAATGGCGGATCCAGAAACTGAATACGGCATAGCTTGGGACGACGACGGTTTCACCGACATCCTACGATCGACCTTCTTCGACGTGAACCCCAGGATTGATCACACCGTCGAAGACAACTTGGAGCGGATTCTAGACACCTTGGTGGAAGCCATTGACGAGCACTTCGAAGGAGTCGAGTGGAGGATCTTCACCAACCCTTGACAAAGGTTTTTCTTCTCTCATGCATCTTATACCTTCTAGTCTAAATTCTCCTGATTTGATTGCAGTCACGACGGACTCCTCCATATTGCTCTTGCTTAAGCTTAGTAAACATACGTTGGAGTGCACCTCTATGCTTTCCAATTCTCATTGTTAGACTAGGGATTATTTTGAAAACTACTACTATTTGTTGTGTTGTTTTTCTATTTATTTTGGAAGTTTCAAAGCTCTCAGCATGTGATTTAAACCTAAGCGGATAACCCATAATCGTTTTGAATCATTATTTGAATTCCCTAGTAATTTTGTTCTAGAATTATTCTAATCACAAGTTGCGCAGAATCCTTTTGAGTTAAATTGCGTTTCATTTACATAGTCCTGCATCACTGATAGCTTGTGGAAGAGAATAATATAATAATTAAGTTATATTGGACTTTAAATTTCATCCATGACGCTATAATTTTACAATGTTATCACTATGCTGATTCTAGGGATGCTGAAAAATAGCAACCTCAATGAAAGTTGGGAAAAAAAAGGTTGGCTCAGCCACAGGTAAAATTATCAAAATCAGCATCATAAACTCAAGGTATGTAGTTCAATGAGAATAGAGAGTGATTTAGACTATCATACCAACAGAGAAGCCATTTTTGGTGCATTCCACCAGTGCACTATCCACGATGTCTTTTAGTGCAAGTGCTTTAGATCCCCTACGCACCCCATTGCATGTTATCACAACTTTGGGCTTGCAATCCATGATCCTTTGGGATAGAGACTCTGAAGAAAAACCAGCAAATACAACCTGAAGAGAGAAAACATTAACAAGATCACCTAGTATCACAATATTCAACATAAGAAACCTGAATTAGCAGACACAAGCTTAGGAAAATACCGAATGCACGGCACCAATTCGGGCACAAGCCAACATAGAAATTGGGAGTTCCATCAACATTGGCAAGTAGATCACAATTGTATCACCCTTTCTAACGCCTACATCTTTCAAGTAATTGGACAGCTAATTCGGCACGGAGAGAAGACAGTAAATTTTTTGAAGAAATACAGTATAATATTAAAAGTGATTCAGTTAAGGGAATGCTCACACCTGGCAAACCTTCTCCAGAAGCTCCCTATAAGTCAGCTTCCCATCCTGACCTGGCTCATTTCCTTCCCATAAGATTGCAACCTTGTCACCATTCCCCACATCAATGTTTCTATCCAAAGCATTATAGCAGACATTGGTGACGCCTCCTATAAACCACTGCAAACCACATCAGCAGAACAAATGTATAAAAACAAATCAGTCTCAAAGACCAAATTAACAATTACAACTAAGACTGACCTCTATCTTCACATTCCCCTTCCTCACATCAAGATTCTCCGAGAAGACTTCTGGATCCCACTTCCTCTTCCAGTAGAACTGAGTTGCAATTTCCGACCAGAAACCAGCCGGATCCTCTATTGATTTCTTATACATTTCCGCGTACTAAACGCAAGAATGCGACAACCATAAGGGGAAAAGAAAACAACAACAACAACAACAATAAAAACAACATTCGCGCAATTCGCATCAACCTTCGCCTCAAAAGCACCACAGTGTCGGGTTACAAGGAATAAGCTGAACACACACAGCCTTTCAACCAAAGGAGTGACAGAAGGAAAAAAAGAAAACCTGCTCCGGCGAAGAAACGAGAGCCTGCGCGGAGAACTCTGGATTGGGGAACACAAGATCATTCTCCTCGGAAGCAAGAGCCTCCCCGAGAACGACCGCGTTGAGGTACGAGATCTTTCCTGCGCCGGAAGGTACGCGGGTCATGGAATCAACATGGCGAAGGTGATCAGATCCCGCTATGCTCCGTGTAGAAGGCGTCGATCCCGCCACCTTAGTCATTCCCATCCGGCGTCCGCCGCTGAAAACCCACCTCAGGCCACGATCACGGCAACAGCAATAGGATCTGAGTAAAACAATAGAAGACGACGCAGCGACGGAGAAGAGCTGATACGGCTTGCGCTTAGGAGCAAGGTATGTAGACGGAGACGGAAACGGACTGATCACAGATCCATATAAATAGAAATGGTCCATCAACAACTAATTTGTCAAACCTACTCCATAAAAGTTACAGATAATATTAAATTAAACTAAAAAAAGCTTCTTTCTCCTTCGACGATTCAGTAATACCGCTCTTGACGATCGCTGGAGAGTTGACAAAAGCTAAATTTATCAAGGGAAAAAAAAATGCAACATGTAGCCGATAAGATCAAATCGTCATGACTATCCAACTAATTAGACGACAGATATGAAACGGATTGGCGTTCTGGCTCTCCACGTGCCGTTAGAGAGTGGAAATCGAACTGGTGCTGGAATTCATTTCAATTGCATTTAGTGGTAGCTTTAACCTGCTACCTAACAGACAAATATCTCTACACCAGATGGCGCCTCACTGGTTGCAGTTGATCCGGTCATCTGAGATATGGGAGTGATCTGCGAATAGTTTAAGGTTTCAATAAAAAATATATATATATTTGAATTTGAGGTCTTCTATAGGACTTATGAGTACATATAAGCATTCAAATTAATTAGGGTTTATCCATAATTTTAGAATTTCAAGCTAAAAGATGTTGATTTCAACCTCAAGAACTCTTGGATCATTTATATGTGTGCAATTACGAGGTAGTCTACTACGGACATCGAAGCACATTTGCTCTAATTTATTTACACATATGCGACCACTCACTAACACTATGATTGTTGTGCCAAATCATACATATTTGTATGTACTTTTTGCGACGATGTCAAATTTTGAGATAATATAATCCTATGCAACGGCTTATTCATCCATGATTTTGGTTTTAATATGTTATCTATGAGTAACTTACCATTGTAAAGTGCAAAAAAGTTGCGGGCGGGGTAACCGTTGGCCGACACTGGCAGTGGAAGGAAGTAGCTGCTGGTGCTGAGCGGTGATTGGAAGACGATGACAATGGTAGTGTGTTAGCGCTGTATTTGGAATATCCCCCAAATCTGAGAAATTCTAAATACACTAAAAATACACTAGCTGGTATGCTTGGAAAAATATGCTCATTTTTCACCCTTCATTCCTTTTTACTTCAAACCAAACACCAATATTTTCAAAATCTCTGCATTTAGAATACTTTACACCCTAAAGACAACAAACCAAACAGTCCCTTAATAAAATGAAACCCAATCATATATGTCCTTAGTCAAGAAAAGAATGCTACCTTTCATGCCGCATAATAATCTATATAAAATTGCCTTTTATTTGATTTACTTTGATAAGTGAGGATCATATCACATCCCTACCCATCAATTACATGCATATACTTATTAACTATGGTCAATAATTACACAAAAGTTTGTATGAGTATTCATACTAAAACACAAATATGATGCATCCACCAATACATAATTTTTTCATATGATTTCCACACAAGTTGACACCTAAATTAAGATATTTCAATCCAACAATGCCAAAGAACTAAAACAGGATAATTTTTCTTAATGAACATGGTGACATTCATTAGTTTTCATGTGTTGAAAGACTAACAAAAATAGTTTTCATGTGTCGAAAGACTAACAAAATTTTTGTGGTCAAGTGAAAACACCAACACCTACTAAGGGATTGTTGCAACGGGCAGATCGAGCATTATGGTGCTGGGTTCTGAATTTAAAATAAAAATATCTTTTTCCACTAAATCAACTCATTTCACCCAATCATAGCAGCCGACTATAGAGAGAGAGAGGAGGATTTCTAGAGATAAAAAATCAATTTTGAGCTGCTTGGGGTCATTTTATGTTGGCGACCCTGTTCTGGAATTTGTTTGCATTTTACCTATCTCAATTTTTTTTATAATTATACCATTTTGAGATTTTCTTCATTTTAAATATAAATTTATGATGTTTAAAGTAAGGTAACTTTTTAACGAGAAAATTTTTACCATATAACTTTTGTATGTTATAGAGAATATAGTTTTGAATATTTATGTATTTTTCAATAAATTTATCGTATGATATTTTTGAAACACTACTTTTCTAAAACTATAGAAAAATAATCAGGCATTAAAAAATAGTAGCATGGAATAATTAAACCCCCAAAATATAATTCTGCTTAATCTCTAGTAATTTGGTAGAATTTTAAATCATTAAATTTTAGCTACATATTGGGTCTGACTACTACAATGTTGCTCGTAAAGAAAATCTCAATAGTTCTATAAATAGTTCCATTTATGTTTAACTATGCATTTGTACATCTTGAGAGCATTGGAAGGCCGAGGGGCCACGAGTACTAAATGAAAATCATAAGGGAATATGATGTCACAGTTTGATGGTTTGGTAGCATAGCTGATGTGCAAGGCCTAGTGTTCTTCTGGTAAGATTGAGGATGCGGATCGATATCTATAGTGTATTGATGTTGAAGCCTTCGAAATTCAAGGGTATTATTGAGCTTAGGGTTGCAGAAGATTTATTGATGATGTTAGAGAAGACCTTTGACAGTATACAATATCCTCTAGAGAGAAGAGTATCTCTGGTTGTTTTTGTTAAATGGTGAAGCTAAGCGCTGCGAAGCGCTGGTGGCTAGGCCAACAACAAGCACAAAGTAACAAAAAATTTGAGGTAGCCAACAAATTTAACCTAGGAGTTCTAAAAAGGAAATTTACAAATGAGTTACCCCTTATTATTATTAGCGCTCTAAACAACAACTTCTAAAAAGATGTGATAATCACCTAACATTTGTAGTTGAAGCAATCACATTATATATTTGATACAATTATCATCCTACCTCACATTCGAAAAATTATTACGTGCGGTGTCTGAACGCGTTCGAAGGCTAATCCAGACGCCCCATTCACCTAATACACAGTGCATTTGGTGATGTGACGCATCCGGATTGACTTTCGGACACATCCAGAGTTCGCACGTAATAACCTCTCCTCACATTCAGCCAAGAGAATTTGAACTCAATGATTTAGTTATATGAAACCTAAGTATCACTAAGATATATGTAGAAAAAAAGGGAAACAAATTTCAATTCATCAAAGTAAAGTTTCTATATATTATTTTTTTGATCTTATCTTTTGTATATAAAATTACTTTTATTGATTTTTTAATATTAATAATTACATATAGTTCTATTATTAATTTCATGAAACATGTGATAACAATATAAACATTAGAATAATAAAAAATTAACTAATAAGATTTAAAGCAAATATTACAATGAAATTTAACAAAATAATTATATCAAATGTTATAAAAATAATTTTTTTTAAAATTTTAAATTTATTTTAAGAAAATAAAATATAAAATTAGAAATTGATTAATTAATAATACTTTAGACTGATTTTGAAATAAATTTAAAATTTTAAAACAAATTTTAAAACCGACTTAACCTTTTTTTTATGCCTTTGAAATACTTTGCCAGTGGGCTTATCTGATAATGGTCATACTGTTAGGGTTTCGTCGTCGGTCGTTTCTCTCTCTCTCTTCCGCTTCATATTTCTAGTCTTCGATGGTCTCTGCTTCATCATCGCTCAGCACTTCATCTCCCATGGCTCCTTCATGCGGTCCTTCAATGGCATGAAATTTATTGAAATATTAGAAGGAAATAACAAAGGGAACAAAGCTTGTGTTCTTAGCAAGTTCTTAGAGGAATGGCGGTGAGCGGTAGCGGTGGTGGTGTAACGACGGAGGAATCGGAGGAGCAACAAAAGCGTTCGGAGATCTACACCTACGAGGCGCCATGGCACATCTATGCCATGAACTGGAGCGTTCGGCGGGACAAGAAGTATAGGCTTGCCATAGCTAGCCTCCTCGAGCAGTACACAAATCGTGTGGAGATCGTCCAACTAGACGACTCGACGGGGGAGATCCGTTCCGACCCCAACCTCTGCTTCGACCACTCGTATCCTCCTACCAAAACCATGTTCGTGCCTGATAGAGAATGCCTCCGGCCGGACCTTCTAGCTACTTCTGCCGACTTCCTCCGTATCTGGCGGATTGCCGACGACTCTTCGCGCGTCGAACTTAAGTCTGTCCTCAACGGCAACAAGAACTCTGAGTTCTGCGGTCCGCTCACCTCTTTCGATTGGAACGAAACTGAGCCACGCCGCATCGGGACCTCCTCCATCGACACCACTTGCACCATCTGGGACATCGAGCGGGAAGCAGTTGACACGCAACTTATCGCCCACGACAAGGAAGTCTATGACATCGCGTGGGGCGGCGTCGGCGTCTTCGCCTCTGTATCGGCGGATGGGTCAGTCCGCGTCTTTGACCTCCGTGATAAGGAGCACTCCACCATTATCTACGAGTCCTCCGATCCTCCGGATACCCCACTTGTTCGTCTCGGGTGGAATAAGCAGGATCCGCGCTACATGGCCACCATCATCATGGACAGTGCTAAGGTCGTCGTCCTTGACATCCGCTTCCCCACGCTCCCTGTTGTCGAGCTGCAGCGACACCAGGCCAGCATTAATGCCATTGCGTGGGCACCCCACAGCTCTTGCCACATTTGCACTGCTGGTGATGACTCCCAGGCGCTCATTTGGGACCTCTCTTCCATGGGAAGCACCTCAGCCTCCTCTGGAGGGAAGCAGCAGCAGCCTGCAGCTGAGGGGGGGCTCGATCCCATCCTTGCTTATACTGCAGGAGCTGAGATCGAGCAGCTGCAATGGTCGTCCTCTCAGCCAGATTGGGTCGCTATTGCCTTCTCCAGTAAGCTGCAGATACTCAGGGTTTGATGTCTCCCATCCTCAGATCTTATTTAATTTCCACCAACCAATCTACCATTCCACAATTTTTTGTTCTTCATATCATGTTGTGTGTGTTGAATTAGAAGATTAGTAGATTAGAATGAGAAATGGGAACACTTGAAAGTTATCTGTAGAGTGTTTCCAGAATCTCTCTGTGCTATATTTACTCTTATAATTCTTGTTTATTTGAATCTGGACTTGAACTTTGGCTAGTTCATTTGGGTGAAAAGCCCAATACTGTTGATTGTCTTGTGAAGGACAATCTTCATTAAATGCTTTTTCCGTTCATTTTTATTGATAGGTCTGATATATTATTTCCTTATCTTCCTATAATATGAATTTTTTGTTTATATGTTGTTCTTATCTTTTTTGGTGGTTCTTTACATGATGAACATGATGATGAGAACATAAGAGTGAGTTGGATTAAAAAAAAAAAAAGAGTGAGTTGGATTTATGTTTTTATATTTTTCATGGATTTTCATTTATTTTGATGACGTGATGTGTTTCTAATGCTTCATATATCTCCTCATGGGGAATAATTCTTTTTCCTGGCATACTTGTTGGTGTTCCACTTATATTGCTGGAAATGGGTTGGCCCTCAGTTTTCTTTTTGTTTCTTAAACTATTTATGTCATCTTTTATTGGTTGCTTTTGTGTTTTTTGTTACTTATGTTTATGATGAAGACTAATATGCAAAAAAAGTGTGTTTTTTGTGCCCATTTTTATTCCCGTCTCTTATTACAATATGTATTTCTGTTGTTTCATTCCTGTATTCGTGGGCTAAATTCTTATAAAAAACATACTGGTTACATGCATAGTAATTTGCAGAAGGTGAATTATAGTAGATGCCAGCCAATCTTTCATTGTTTAATCATATTTGCATTCTCTATGTCATGACGTAGGTATTTTTCAGTAGTAAGGGTTTCTTTTAATGATACAATATTTATGTTGTATGTACAATTAAATTGTCTATTTTTTTTGGACTATTAATATGATCTTTTGTGATAACAGGTAGATATGTTCTGGTTATTTTGATTTTATTGTTCATTCCTTCTACCATCTGTTTTTCTTCTTCATGATTTTTTTTTATATTTCATCTCCTGAGCATCTATACTATTAAATGTATATGCTGTAGAATTCATACAATCTGAATGAAAATTTTTTGTATTAAGTCATTTGAGAACACTTTGATCATCTTTTTATTTTATCAAGCTAAGATAATTTTATATGTTAAGGAAATTGATTTAATAAATTGGAATTTTTCATCACCTGATCATACATTTTATTTGCTCTTGTAATATGTTGTATTATCTTTGCTTTTGATGTGCAAAACTGATGGAATTGTTATCATCATTTGTGCATGCCTTAGATAACTTGGGTCTATTGTTCATAGTGATGGTGAAATAGATGGGAATATTAGTAGTAGAATTCAAGTTGGATGGTTGAAGTGGAGCAAATGATTGGGCTTGTTATGTGATAGAAAAGTCCCTCTCAAACTTAAGGGAAAATTCTATAAGATGGTAGTTAGATCTGCAATGTTTTATGGTGCAGAATGTTGTCCATTAAAAGAGAAGCATTATATTAAGTTAAGTGTTGCAGAGATGATGATGCTCAGGTGCATGAGTGGCTTTACTCTTAAAGATAGGATATGAAATGAGCATATACGTGAAAAGGTTGGAGTAGCTCCAATGGAAGATAAGATTAGAGAGAGTCGCCTTATATGGTTTGGTCATATATACAACAACCTTCCGATGACCCGGTTAGGAAAGTAGATGTATTAGATTTGATTTATATTAAGAAAGTTAGAGGTAGACCTAAAAAGACTTAGTTAGAAAATATTAGAAATGACATTTCTTTATTAGTTTTAGATGAGAATTTGACCCTTAACAGGACAAAATGGAGAAAAATGATTCATGTAGCCGACCCTACAGTGGGATATAAGCTTGTTGTTGTTGTATCATTTGTGCATGCCTTCTTAATAGGATTATTTGGATTGTAAATTTGTGCATGCCTTCTTAATAGGATTATTTGGATTGTAAAATCTAGTTGAGTAAGCTTTTATTATTCCACCGTTTTGAATGTTGTGTTCCTTTTATTGAGGAAAACTTACCGAAGTTTGTTTACTCGTACCATCTCCTTAACATTATCATCATTTTCCCCTCCCTCTTCCCCCTTATCATCATATTAGTGGCTAACAAAACATATGCTTTAGGCAATGTATTTTCACTATGTTTGCTTATTTTTTATTTTCCTATGTTTATAGTGTTTACTCTTTAAGTGGGTGGACATCATTAAGGCACCAGAGCTAAAAGTAACCATAGTGAAAGGAGAGACGCTAAGTGCTTGAAGTTTGTGAATTAGGATTGCTTTTTTTAAAATATTGAGAAAATTTTGCGAGCTAATTTTTTTTTATGCGTGCATTTGTATATATACACACATCAAAGAATTATAATAAAACGCTAGTATGTACAAAGAGTATTTGTATTGAAAACTTAAAAATAATTAATAAATGTTGTGATCAAAAGTTTATGAAGGACCCATAATATTAAAATTCCTTGCTTATGCGCCATCATAATTAATATGATAAAACTTGCATTATCGCTACGTGAAATTATCAATAAATTTAATGGTCTTATGAAAATCATTGTGTTAAGATATCTAATGGAGAAAGTATGTAGAACAAAAAAAAATGATCTTCTGATTTTTTATTTATTCTGAGAAGTTATATCTTTAAATAGTATGAGAATTAATTTGTTGTGTATTAAGTTATAAGTCTTTTTGTGTTAAGATAGTTAAATGAAGAAATATGTGTTGTAGAGATGAGGATGCTCAGGTGGATGAGTGGCTTTTGAGACATAATGTGAAATGAGTACATATGTGAAGGTTGGAGTAGCTCTAGTGGCATATAAGATTAGAGAGATTTGTCTTAGATGATTTGGTCACATAAAGTGTCAACTTCCGATGACCTGATTAGGAGAAGTAGATGCATTAGATTCGGCTTATGTTAAGAATGATAGAGGTAGACCTAAAAAAACTTGGTTAGAAAGAATTATAAATGATTTTTGTTAATTATAATCGAATGAGAATTTGATTCTTAAAAGAATACAATGGAGAAAAATGATTCATGTAGCCAATCCCATGTAATGGAATATAAAGGCTTGATGATGATAGTTAATAGGGAAATACGTACAACAAACGAAAGGCCATCATATGATTTTTTATTGATCTTGAGACTGTATATGATCAAATATTACAAGAATTAATTTGTTGTGCATTCAGATGAAAATTGGTGTAAAAGGTATCTTGACATTATTAAAGATTCGCATGATAGAGCGTTAGTTGTTTATAGTAGTAGTTATGTAGTGATTCGAGAATTTCAAATTATCGTAGATTTACTTCAATGATTAGTATTGAGTTTATATATTTTAGCATCGGCTGCGGCGATGCTTACAAAAAAAATTCAAAATGAAATAAATAAATGATTGGAACAATAGAGGAAATGTTTGGAAAATAGATAATTTAGAATTATTATAATAAAGCTTGAGCATATGTGATGCTTGATATTCTAGTATTTAGGTCTCTTGTTGCGATTTGAATAATGCAGTGAATGTGATTGGAAAGGAAATTAGGGTTCACTTATTAAAGACCTCCTTAATACATAAAAACTTGGTTTTTTACGTGTTAATTATAAAATATGAGAATTAGAAACCTATTTATAATACAATGATTGAATGAATCCTTAGAAAAATAAAAAGAAAGAATTGGGATTATGCAAAATCAACCAGCAATTACAATTTTTTTAATGTCGTATCAAATTAATTACATGCCATATATTGTTTATTCATAAATTTTTATCTTTAGATTAATAGATAAGCTTGATACAAAACTAGCCCTATTCATATCTGGTTAATTCATATTTCAAGCTTAAGATGCATCCTTAAAAATTCAAAATAGACACAGATAAGCTAATTCACATGAATAAAACAGTAAGAACCTTCACGGGTTAATCCAAAGCAGGGAAAACAGCAAAAAGCTTCTTCACAAATCCCAAAATTTTTTTAGAATATCCTTAACTGGCGAAAACAATAACATCTTATCTTCAAAGCCAGCAATAATGCCTTATCTTCAACCAATAACACTCCCAGCCGATATTAGTGGCTATTTAGCTGTAAAGGACATATCCCATATTACCCACAAGTTTTAATATCGCCTAATTACAGCGACTGTCTAATTACTAACTGAAATGGAGACTTGGCTTTATTTGACGCAACTTTCTAACTTTTTAATACAAAAAATTTTAGTTCAAGAAATTTTTATACTAAAAAGTTGTTTTAGAAAGTTTTCCCAAATAAAAACCTTAGTGGTAGATGATTTATTGTTTTGCTTTGACTTTGAAATCAACCACAGTCGAATTAACCCAATATTATCCTGATATTTGGATACAAATTAATAAGGAACGCATCTCCTTGTCCATAGCATTATATTCTTCATGTTGCTATTCAACAACCTTAGCTTGGCAAACTTCAAAATGAAGTAAAACTGCATATTTCTCAAGTTATTCGATTTATACTTCTACTGTGTGTAAACATTTAGATTTCTATCATTACGTTAATTTTTGTTAGTGTGATATTAACAATTATTATTCAACATTTTTAGAATATATTGTGATACCAAGTTCCAATAGATTTGACTATTTCGAATCTTTTGTGCATAATAGTTATAAATGAGAGATATAGCTTATAAGTGCTAAAGCTTGATGGTCAAAATGTTGGAGTGTTTTAGGAGTTGTGTGATTAGAGGATTTTATTGAGACTTAAAGATAAATTGTTAAAAAAAAGGGTTAGAAAAGGACCATCAAATATACCATGTGAATGAAAAATATGAAGAATGAGATTCTGTAAATGGAGTAGAGGCTAACTGTTCTAACAATTTAACCTGCATTGTACATTTTATGTGCAGCTAAAAGTAAAAAAAATTAAGGATTTAGGACCCTGTTAGTTATTTAAGAGATGCTATCGTAAGGTGCCTGACTTGGGAATAGAGGCTTTACTATGGGTACTAAGATTTAGGCATTTTGAAAATGAGCCTTTTGGGAAGGTGCAAGATGCTCAAGGAGGTGTGCTTTGTAAGTCCAAGCGTGCCTTGTTAAAGACGATCTATCATCATTTCCAGTGAACTAATTGTGCCTTGTTAAAGACGACTATCAAATTCTCATGTTTTATGGTGCCGTATGTTGGCCATTAAAAAAGAAGCATAATACTAAGTTTAGTGTTGCAGAGATGAGGATGCTTAGGTGGATGAGTGATTTTACCCTTAAAGATAGGATATGAAATGTGCATATACGTGAAAAGGTTGGAGTAGCTCCAATGGAAGATAAGATTAGAGAGAGTCGCCTTAGATGATTTGGTCACATTAAACGTAGGCCTTCCGATGACTCGGTTAGGAAAGTTGATGTTTTAGATTTGTCTTATGTTAAGAAAGGTACAAGTAGACCTAAAAAGATTTTGATTAGAAAATATTAGAAATGATCTTTCTTTATTAGATTTAAATGAGAATTTGACTTTTAACAGGAGACAATGACGAAAAAGGATTCATGTAGTCGACCCCACGTAATGGGACAAAGGCTTGATGTTGTTGTTGTTGTGGGGGTTGTTTGGACCGGTTATAATTGCCTGTAAAAATAGGTGTAAAATCATTATTAAAAAGTAGACATGTTGGAAGTTGTTGTGTATATTTTAAAAATTTTCCTTTAGAAAAAGTTGGATATCAGTTAATTTAGGCTTCGTTTGGGATGACTTTCTTATTGCTTTTTAAAGCAGTTTTTTAATACAAATATTAATTTTTTATACTAGAAAACTGCTTTATAAAGCAATAAGAAAATCATTCCAAACGAAGTCTTATAGTTATCACAGTATAGCTGATTTGGTTATAAAAGCTCTGTTACATTAGTAGAAATTTAAAAAAAATAACAATAAAGCTATAGACAAATAAAATTATGATAATTTTTTGAAACATAAACTCTGAAAAGCTGTGAAAAGTTTCCTCAAACAATGGCCCCCAACATAATTTGGAGAGATTGTCAAAAACCCATACTGATGATCTTTTCTGCCAACAATATCAGATTCATCAGTGTGTTAGCATGATGGACTTGCAAAAATGATAGTTGCACAATGCATCACTATCAGCATCATGGAAATTTCAAATGCTTAACACTTCGTTTGGCTTTCTTGCTACTTTTAAAAGCACTTTCTTTATACAAAAAATTTAATTTTTATATTAAAAAACTGTTTTAAAAAGCGGTAAGAAAGTTGTCGCAAACGAAGCTTAAATTCCTAAATTGTATTACTGGTAAGGATCAATCCATTGAACTGCTCTTTCTTATTACTGGTAAGGGTTGGTCCATCAGGCTATCTTCTTGATTTAGCAGAACAAACTTTAGCATAATTGACTTACAGAACTACAAGTAGGTTGTAAAAGAGATGTATTATACAGCTCTCTCTTCATTGTCTTAAAATCTGCTAACTTTCTCTTTAATTTTCTTCTGATGCTGCTTTCGCTTGTATGTAATAGAATTATTTTTACAATATTTTTGTTCAGATTTTATTACATTCTTCTTTAGCTATATGTATGATAGCAATTTTATTATATTCTATCTTCTAAGTTCTTATGATATTCTCATATTATATATTTTTTGTTACTTAACCAAATTGTTGAGAAGAATGCCGATGGTGATAAGAACTTAGGTTTCGTTTGGGATAATTTTTTTATTACTTTCTAAAGCAGCTTTTTAGTACAAATATTTTTTGATTTTGAATTTTTTGTATTAAAAAAGCAGTAAGAAAGTTGTCCCAAACGAAACCTTAGTTGTGAATGTAACTCATGGAAGTAAATTTTGTTTTGGAACTTCATTTAGGACGATTAGGTAGACAGAGATCTGATATTTATATTTTCTTGGGAATAATTTTCATATTGTTTTATAAACTAATTTTTTAGTATAGTTGTTCTAAACAAAAACTCAATTTAATTTGATTTAGAAAATAGTTTGAAATCAATTATTTTCACCAATAAAATCAATTAAAATTCATTTTTAAATATTTTGAATATTAAGTGAATTTAATCATAAATTTAAGTTGGCCAAAACCCACTAAATTGATCAAATTAATGAAATCGTATATAGTTTTAAATTTAAAATACATCAATTTATCTATATGGTGCATAACGTTCAAAATTAGAGACAAAGGGATGAGGTTTAAATGCAAATAGTTATTGCAAGACGTGCAAATTTCTTTAGAAGAAAGGAATTGATTGGATATGAATAGGCAACACGGAATCAACATTATTATTTTTATAAACCTTTATGTTTCTTTTATAATTGGAGTTCCTCTATTCAAATTTTCAAAAATTATTATTTAAGTGTAACATAATATGGTGGAAATTTAATTTAATTATTGATTTAATGATTAGACATGAATCTCAATTCATATATGCAAGAGGTTGTACTTGATTAGGGCTGTCAAAATTGGATTACAGGTCGAGTTCAAGTTCAACCCAGAATTGACCCGACTCAAATCCAACACTTTCTCGGGCTTGAGCCCGACCTATTTTGGACCTAGGTCATCCCGACACCACCCACAAACCCATCATCGTCTTTCTACTGATCCAACAAAAATACGACGAGCTGGAGGTGATGAAATGGTAGCTAGAGGACATGACGGTACCAACAGCTAGAAGCAGGATGGGACGGCAGTAGCGGATATGTCCATCAGCAATACCAGCCAAGCAGGCCATCACGGGTGGGATAGTGACAATGGCCATGTGCACTCAACGACATCGGCCATGCAGACCAGTGCAGACGGGACGGCGACATCGATTAGGCTGTCAGGCATCATCACATTAGACGCGGTCACTCGAAGAGACAATGTCAGCACGGACGGGAGAGTGGCAGCAGCACATGCTAGCCCTAATGTGACTCACACACGATGTTCAGGTTAACCCGTGTTGATTTTGTATTTCATGGTCAACCTAAACTCAACCTATTTTTTTAAATGGGTTGAATCCTAGAACACGAAAATGACCTGTTTGCGAAATTGGTTGACTATGACCCATAAATTTTTGTTCGGATTTGAGTCAAGTTTTTGGGTCCCCCTAGTATGTTTTTTTATTGATAATATTATTTTTGTTGATAAGATTGGAGGAGTTGAATGTAAACTTTGAATTCTGGAGGTCAAACTTAGAGTCTAAAGACTTTTATTTTAGTAGAAATAAAACATAATATATTGAGTGTAATTTTAGAAATAATAGATCTAGTTGGAGTATTGAGACTTTAGGTGATCAAGTCATTAATAAGAATACACCTTTTAAATATCTTGAGTCTAGTATCCAGAGAGATGATGAAATAGATTGAGATATTATTAGTAGAATTCAAATTGGATGGTTGAAGTGGAGGATTGCACCGATCTTCTTATTTGATAGAAAATTCCTCTCAAACTTAAGAGAAAAATATATAAGATATTAGAGAAACTTACAATGCTTTATGGTATATAATATTGACCATTAAAAAAGAAGTATAATATTAACTTAAATATTACAAAGATAAGAATGCTCATGTAGATGACTGTCTTTACTCTTAAAGACATGATATAAAATGAACATATACATAAAAAAATGTTGGAATAGTTCAAATGGAATATAATATTAAACAGAATTGACTTAGATGATCTGGTCACATAAAACAACAGCTTTCCGATAACCCAATTAAGAAAATAGATGTATCATGTTAACCAGGATAGAAGTAGACCTAACAAAACTTAATTTAAAATTATTTGAAATAATATTTCTTTATTAAACTTAGATGAAAATTTAATTCTTAACATAACACAATAATTTAAAAAAAATATATACAACCAACCCCGCAAAATAGGATAAAAACTTCTTGTTATATTTTGTTTTGCTTCTCTCAACCCTAATCGTGTGACCACAACTTAACCATGATCCTTCAATTACTCGATCATAATCTTCCAATTAATATTTGCTTGTCTACCAATTATATCAATAGAAGCCAATAGCATAGACACATGCCATTATTTATAAAATTAATGCATATCATTAACACAAATGTAACTCTCAAAATCAACACCAAAATTTATATTAATCTCCTTAATTCTAATATTCCATCCTCAAAAATAACTAAACATACAATAAATAATTTCTTAAAAATAACTTCCAAGTCATAAACTCTTCCAACCATTTGCAATTGATGACATAAATGTTACTAGTAATTTATATATATTTTTATATTGTATAAACATCTTCTCAAATTAAATGAAAAAAATACCATTTGCAATTGATGACCAATCTCCAAAGATGCTTAAGGCCTTTAATGGTCAAACAAAATCTTTAGGATGGAATATACAAAGGAAGGGCTGCCAATTGAGACAAATCAAGTTTTGACAAAGCAACCAATTGGAATAAACGATTAATCAATTCCATCCATTAGAATATAACCACTTCTAAAAGTTTAGTAACCCGAACCCCCCTTAGTCGTCAGGAAAAATTATTAGGTGCGCACCATCCGTACAAATACTGGGTAACTACAATACCCAGCGGTACCGAGTGCGAGTCCTGCTACGTATCGCATACTTGTGCGGACAGTTCTCCCGTCTGCACTCCGCACCTAATAATCTCTCGACTGCTTACAAATTCCAATAACAATATTAAAATAACAGTAAGAGACAAAGAACGTAACGTACAAGGCCGGCATGTGCGGGGAAAGCAGGCTTTGCTCATCACAATCGTCGCTTTCTTCCATTACAGCATTTTTTCCTTTTCTCCTTTTAAGCCCTCTTTGAACGCTTCTTCATTTTGCTATTAACGGTCCGTTTCTGAGTCAAACCACCGTATCTCAACACATTTTCTTTGGACTGTAAAAAATCAAATCGCTGGTTTTTTTTGGAGGGAAAATATAAAATATTTACAAAATTATATTACCAAAAAAAAGGAAATAAAAAATTAGAACAAAAAAAAAAAACTACAGCGATGTTTAGGACCAAAAAAGGAGACCAGACCACGTTGTGGTGGAAACTGACATTAGGACATAAAGATTTGTAAGGTCGCATTCTTGGGATAGTGACAAGTGGGACACGTGTCAACGCCAGCGTCGCAGGACTTGCAAAGGCAAAGATGCCTACAGGGGAGCACCAGAACGCAAATGTCGTTCTCGTTGCAGACTTTACAAACCATCCGGCGTCGAAGTTCTTCACTCGCCGGCGGGGTCTCAAAGCAACAAGACTGCGCGTCATCTGCAGGAAATAGCGAGCAATTGCTCTCGCCGAATCCCTCCTTCGCCGGCGGCGCCGCGGAGGCGGCGGTGAGATTCTGTATCATTGCTTGCTCAAGGCTGGTTCTAAGACTCGAGACAACCGCTTCATTGTTCTTGGCGAGATTGAACCAGATCAGGCTCTCAGCGCTTATCTGCCGTGCTTTCTCTTCCAGCTCGGCATTCCTCCTGCTCGCGTTCTCTAGCTCAGCCTCCTTTTCGCGCAGACGTTTTATGGCGCGCTGGCTCAGAGAGTAGAGCAGCTCCTGGCAATATCTCTTAAGCGCCTCTTCCATTCCCCAACGAAGTCTCTCGCTCTGAAGAATTAAACCACAAAAGAAATCAGCAATCAATCGATCCAAAATCAACCGTATATTTTGAAGGTAGGACGATGATTACCTGTCGCCGCAATAGAGTATCCATTTCATTGTTCTGCCGATATAACAGAGCAAGATGTTCAGGAGATACATCGGGGCCATTAGGCAAATACGAAACAGAAGAAACCTCACTCGTGGACGGCGCCGTCGATTCAATCATGGGTAAACCCAACCCGCCAGAAACCCGAAATCCGCTTGAAGAAGCGATCGTACCTGCCCTAATCGGTAGCTGCGAGTACATCGGCGCCGCAATAGCGATCATTGGCTCATCCCTCCTCCGCTTACGGCAGGAGCTAGAGACGTTGCATGTAAGATCGCTCTGCGGGTGATCACTCAATACAGCAACGTTGGTTAAAACACCAGCTGGTACCCGAGCTCCATCTTTCGCAGTATAATAAAACTGGCCGATCTGATGATTTGGGCTCTGCAGCATCTGTATACCTTCAAGAACACCACCCGGAGCCTCAACCCTGAATGATTCCGACTATCAGATCGAAAGACGAAGGATCATACCAATACCAATACAGAATCAAATTAAAGACGGAAAATCTCCCGCTCACCAGGAGTAATGAAAATCAGGGGTGAAATCGTCAGAGATATACTGTGCATGAACTGCCATTCCAGCTTATTCTTCTACGGATCTCGCAAGCTCAATCTCGCCTGCTTCGATTTGCTCGTCCGATCCACTCTCCGTAACGCTCGGCAACGGCTTCGAAGCTGAAAAGCCAAATGATCCACAGCAAGAAGAAGTGCGAAGAAACTGCGTAAGAGGAAATGCACGCGCTTGCATTTATATATAGAGGATGGGCCATTGACTCTGAAGTTTCTGTAAGGTGGTGATGACGCAGCAGCGAGAAATTTATTGTATATATTTTTATTGTAATTACAGATATTTAGACTAAGGTTAATAATGTAATATTTATTATTATATATATTAAATAATTTATTGCTTAGTAAAAGTCTCGGTCGTCTTTGCGGGCTCTGACTATGATAGATTTGATTAAGTAGGATTTAGTGGTGCCGATAAAATTCAGTCAATATACGCAGACTGCATAAAAAAATAAGAAATTATTTCTTTTTTATTAATTGAATTTATTATAATAAAAATTTAATTATGCATGAATATTTTAAAATTATATTACAATGAATTTAAAAATAATTCCATTTATAAAAAAATTATTAATTCTGTAAATATCAAAAGACTCAAAGTTTACATCATAATAAAGATATAAAAAAAAGGTATATTGCAAAAAGAGACCTCCACATCGTATCTTGCACGTACAGGCTGGTCCCGTCGTCGGCCGTCCGTCTCTTCCAAAATAGTCCTCCACATGTCTCATATTTATTATTCCGGTCCTCCCAAAAAATTATATAAAATAATAATTATACATATAACCACTATATTAATAAATCTGTAAATATAATATTTACAAAGAAGTAATGATAGCACTGCCCGTTTACAGAAAGAAAGGACCAACACATCGTCGGGGAGGAAGAAAAAAATAGAAAGCAGAGAAAGAGATAGAAAGAGGAGAAGGACAGATCCATCACTCTCGTCGGTAATGGCCCGACGGGTCAGCCCGATATCCCACCTCGATTCGCCCGACGAGCCCAACCCGGCGAACGTACGAAGCAGGCTTATCTCCTTCTCTCTCTACAGTCGGCCATTCCCCGTGCCTTGCCCACTACGGTACCCACCCACCCATCACCAATCGCTCTCTCTCTCTCTTCTTCTTAGGTCAGGAATTTGGGCTACAGCTCTAATACTAATAGTTCATCGGGCCCAGAGTTGCGTTATTTCTCTGTCATGTTTTCTCTCTCTTCTGTAGCTTTCCAATGCTTTTGGTGGCATTCAGAAGAAGAGCAGAAACAGCCGCTGCCACGTCCGTCGCTTCTCCCATCTCTTTCTCATTTCCACTTTCTATTACTTTTATTTATTACGCTCTTTGTTCTTTGTTTCTCTCTCTTAGATCCATACGGATGATTCTCTCTACCCACTTA